GGCATGGATAACCTTTCTTCATGCTTCACAAAGACTACATCAACACTCCATTTCTTGCTTATAGATATTGGACAAGAGTGCAGTCGTGAACATCAGATGGAAGCCCATCTGCACGCTCGAAGGTCCATCGCTTGTACTCTTTCCTTGTACAAAAAGGCTTTCTATAGCTACAAAAAGACGCGGTGAAAGACATAGACCGTTGCTTAATGACACTTTGTATCAGGACGAACACTCATTTCAACTTCAGGAAGCTGACATCAAGCATAATCCTCCACTAACATGACTAGATTCGAGTTTTACCCAGAAACATGGAATTACTGAGTCCCTGATCGTATTCGTTTCAACATCAGCATAGTGAAAGTCACTACCGTCAACTACGTTATATCTGTGACTTTATATGCGAAACCCGTCTACGCCTAGTAACAGCCGAGTCACCGCAGAGTTCATAAGAAAGCAAACTAAATGTTCCCGTCGAATTATCCGAGACTCCACATGCAAGACCCTACTAGGTCGGATCAAGCAGACCTCGGCTTCCGGAAGCCGGCTTCGTACTCCTTTTTCCTTCATTATCTTGAACGGAGCACTCATTCGAGACCATCACTCAACGATCAACCTCTGGATCGGGATTCAAACACATTGGCTACAGGAAGTCAGTTTCAAGCTAAACTATGATACGTTGAAATCCAAAATTTTACAAGCGAGACCGTCACTCAACATTCAACCTCTGGATTGGGATCCAGGAACACCTCGGCCACAGGAAGCCGGCATTAAAACAACTTCAAGATATTATAAGCGACTGTCACTCAACAGTCAACCTCTGGAATGGGATCCAGGCACATCTCGGCCACAGGAAGCCGGCATTAAAACAACTTCCCATCATTCGTCAAATCAAGATACTATTCGCGACTGTCACTCAACAGTCAACCTCTGGATTGGGATCTAGGAACACCTCGGCCACAGGAAGCCGGCATTAAAACAACTTTCCATCATTCGTCAAATCAAGATACTATTCGTGACTGTCACTCAACAGTCAGTCTCTGGATTGGGATCCAGGAACACCTCGGCCACAGGAAGCCGGCATTAAAACAACTTCCCATCGTCAAATCCAAGATGCTATTACGCGACTGTCACTCAACAGTCAACCTCTGGATTGAGATCCAGGAATATCTCGGCTACAGGGAAGCCGCCACATCAACCTCACCTTTCCACCATTCGCTAAAACCAAAATCCTATATGGACCGTCCCACAAACAGTCAATCCTGGGTCGAGACCGCGATCACTTCAGCTTCAAAAAGTCAACATCTCACCATTTTTTCCATCACATTCATGTCCGTTAACTTACCTCTTCAGCCACTGGTATCCAGAAGTATATCTTCGGTTAAGATCAGCGGCTTACATTCAACGCCACAACCCCAAATTGGAGCGCCCAACGCCCAGCAAAATTGTGATTCAACCCACAATAACTATGTATTCAGCCATAGTATCGGCTGAACAGCCAAGTTATGCCCAATCCTCAAGCAATGAGAGTGCGACCCTTTTTCCCCGACCTTTGAGACTAAGGGCCGCATGCACTAACATCCGCGCGGGGAGGGGATCGCAGCTTAAAAGAAAGCTTTATATTTCGAAACTTTAAATACCTGGATTTCACATTGTGTACCTATCCGTAAGTATTCCTACTACCCTTCATTATGAACATGTTGAACAGGAGCGAAAAGCTGTACGAACCGCATTTTCCAGATTTTGTATGATCCCTGATGATCCCCGGCGCTTTTCTTTGAAGGCATTTTTCTTTCTTCGAAGTTAACGAAAACCTTCCAAAGTTGTACTGAGCATCTAGCACAACAGTGCTAAGCATGTTGCTGATGAGAACAAATGAGTTTTTGAAAAGTCGAATTTTTCAATAAACCTCAAATTTCGACCTGTGGATCATCGAAAATTTCATGACTTCAAAACATCATTTGTTCTTATCAGCAACATGCTTAGCACTGTCGGGTCAGATGTTCAGTACAACTTTGAAAGGTTTTCTTTAACTTCGGAGAAGGAAAAATGACTTTAAAGAAAAGCACCGGGGATCATCAGGGATCATACAAAATCTGGAAAATGCGGTTCGTACAGCTTCTCGCTCCTGTTCAACATGTCCATAGTGAAGGGTAGTAGGAATACTTACGGATAGGTACACAACGTGAAATCCAGGTATCTGAAGTTTCGAAATATAAAGCTTTCTTTTAAGCTGCGATCCCCTCCCCGCGGGGATGTTAGTGCATGCAGCCCTAAGGGCAAGCAAGGTCTTCCCCGAGTAGGCCCATTTGACTAACGTGATGCTCAAAGAAAGCAGCTATGTGATGTTGTGCATAACAAATACGGAAACTCGAATAAGCTTATACAATCGTCGCTCCAGCGCAGTAGAGCAGAAATCAAATAGAATAATTTTGGCGCTGTTAAAAGAGAAATGAAGAGATGCCTACTAGACATAAAAGAAGCTCCGAAAACCACCCATAAACAGGTCTTTTCCATTCTACAAACGATGGTAATGCTGGCACCTGAGCGTTTGTGAACAATATGAGCCCAGAGAGAAGCCAGAGGCTCAATTCTGGCAACTACGCAGTTTGCTTTGATGAAGAACTGACCCAACGGTGCATATGCCGTAAGCATACATTGTTACTTGGTTCACAACAAGCAATACATCACGATGACAAAAAACATCAGCTATCTGAACTTCGATCGAGCGAATCTACAGCTGGCAGATGAGAAAAAAACGTTCCGATGCCAAATCAGAAACCCGAATATTTGCATCTGTGAGGAAATTGGCTAGAGTTCAAGGCGTAAAAAGAACTGGTACACTGTACACAAATCATATTGACAACTCACTGCGTTCCATAGCTACTGGCCAATTCAATAAGCATATCTGCTTCTATCCAGATTATATGACACATGCTTTACATTTTGACAGGAGAGAGCAATAGCGGGCTCCTCCTGAGCTGACGAAAGACCGGAATGGTCAAAACAGTGCCAACTCAGACACTCGCTGCGGCGGCGCGCGCGTCTTATGCGTGCGGCCCCTCATGTCGCCCGCCGCCGGCCGTCAAATAGCGCGCGCGCCGCGAGTAGATGGCACGCGCGCCGCGAGTAAATGGTACGCGCGCCGTGAGTAGATGGGACGCGCGCCATACGATAATGGCACGCCGCTCGCACGGTATGAAAATTGCCATTCGCATTTGAGGCACTGAATCACGGTGAATCTGTGGTAGACCTGATGACAACCTTCAATTTCAGGCAAACAATGGCTTCAATTTCAAACATGAACTTGAAGTTTCCAAAGTTTCCAAATTTTTGAAACTTGAAAATTCAATTTCAAAAATTCAAAAATTCAAATTCCCAAACTTGAATTCAAACTCGGCACCTACTCGCGGTGCTTATGAGGACTGAGTCTCAATGGAAGAACTAGAAGAATCCCACTTGTATTAATGAGACAACTCCATTGCTAAACAGCGATAACCTTAATGAATTGGCGATAAAGCACCCAAAACACTGCGTCGTACTTCACGCAGGTATCGCTTGTGCTTACAGCGTGTGAAAATGCGGAAGATATCATGGCACGCCACTCACTGATAGATTGCGCGCCGTTCGCAATACAGTGCTATAGTGGCGCGCGCGTCGCCGCGCCGGCGGCCGTAATAAGGCGCGCCGCTCGCCGGCTGCGAACGATGGCGCGCCGCTCGCACTGCAGCCTCAACTGTGGCGCGCCGCTCGCACGGCAGCCTCGAATAGGGCGCGCCGCTCGCACGGCAGCATCAAATAGAGCGCGCCGCTCGCACTGTAGCGCTATTATGGCGCGCCCGCCGCCGCAGCGAGTGTCTGAGAAGCACGCGCCTCAGCCGACTCCGCCCCGCGTGCTTGGCACAACAACCCGTTGCGAAATTGCAAAACTCCATTCATCAGCTGGGGTGCAGTGGGTGCATTCGAGACAGCCGGAATTGTTGACATCGTCCCGGCAGCCTGACTTCAGATGGGCCAGCCTGCGCTTTATATAGAGGGATGATAATATGCAGGCGAAGATCCACCGAAAGAGCGTAGCTACAGTACCAGTGAATATCGGGAGGGTAAGGGCAAGAATCAGGTAGTATCAGCAGATGCATTGGGAGGAAAATATTGTGATCATTATGCGTAATTTTGGAAATGAACAAGGTAAGAGAAACTGATGCGTGTGACGGAATAAAGCGTCAAAATCTGTGGGGTTTCGAAGCCAACACTTTTCAGATTACTTGCGTCTATCAACTTTCTGGTAAGGAACGCACCGCTCATGTTTTTGAAGTTACTTACCATTCATGGTATAACCTTGCTTGACAAGTTAACAGCTAGCCAGATCAAAGAAATGTATCAAGGTGGCAGTGATACGACACTGATTTTAGAACAAATTCATTCCCTCGACTTGCATTACAGTATTCCTCTGCTTAGCAACCTCGTAAGACTTGTGCTTGTATGTTGGCAGTGAGAATGGTTGAGTCTCTTAAATCCGAAGGAAAAATGAGGGTATTTGCCTAAGCGTTGCTCTGTGTCTTGTAGTCATCCTCAATACTCACCAAGGTTTCAATGTGCCCATAAAGTTCAATATTGATCAAGATACTATGGAGTTCTTAGACAACTTTTTCCGAGAAAATCGAATGAGCGTGCATCTGCCAAGCGAAAATAATAGCGTCCTAACTTCATTGATAGGCATGCTCTTCAATGGTAATTTGCAGTGTCCGATGCGATTTCTGCAAGGTCCATTTTGGAAGTACCAGCTTCCGTGACATCGAGAGACATTAACTTTGGTCGGCGATCAAGTCATCTTTTGAATAGCAGTGGTTTGGTGAATCTAGATGTATTAACTCCTGAAGCTGCACCATCACCGATCTGTGCGTTGTTACATTTTAAGTTCCACAAAAATTCCTCTATAGATGATTTATCTTACCTGAAGCATCAAAGTCAACCAGAGTCACCTGTTAAAAGACCTCTTTCCGATGCCCACTGCATCAGCAGTATCCATTGGTAATTCCTCCTTGTAAGTTTTCACAGGAATGTAAGTCCATCCTTTCAAGAAACCTCTTTCCAACGAAATCGCGCGCTACGCCGAAAATACCGCCTGTGGAGGAGTTATCCCCTCAAGTGAGTAGGATGGCCAATTATCTTATATATAAAGCTGAATGTCAGTTTGTCTGTATGTCTGTCTGTCTGTACGTATGTTACGAATAGAAAATTCCATTTCTGAACCGATCCGGACCAAACTTGGCACACATACACTTCGGGCCCCGGCGGGTGTCATAGGCTACTTTTCGTATCGATCGATATCGATTTTATCGATTTTTTGCAAAATTTGAGCTACGGGGCTGGGAGTTGGCAAAGGGGGAGAAAGTGAGCATGGGGATTCCGAATACAATATTAGAGTGCACGGTTTCGAAAACTAATACTGTATTCGTAATCAGCATGCTCGATTACCCCCCTGTGCCAAATCCCAGCCCCCTAGCTCAAATTTTGCAAAAAATCGATAAAGTTGACATCGATCGATAACGAAAAGTGGACTGTGACACCTACCGGGGCCCGAAGTGTAAGTGTGCCAAGTTTGGTCCGGATTGGTTAAGAAATGGAATTTTCTATTCGGAGCATACGGCGGAGCCGGATAAGCCAGCTAGTATTCCATATAATCAATTCAGTAGAGTAGCCCAGACCTCATCCGAGCAGAAATCTCAACCGAAGATGAGTCTCCGGCAGCTGATGACTGGCATCTGGCAGGAGACTGGAGCGATAGCGAAATCAGGTCTGCACTTGAGTTATCGTATAACGTTTTTACTTCATCATAACCTATTTCTTACTAATTTTTTACTGATCAAGTCTCACCTTTTTCAGATTTTCTGATCTAGATCCTTCTGTTGATAGAATGCTCAGCTCCTCTTTACATGACTCTCTCCATCCCACCATGCACCAGAACACGATGTAGATGCCGCTGCGATCAGTGAAGATCTTGTGGACACTAGTAGCGACATAGCTGATTGTTCAATTGACGCTGATAGGGTAGAGGAGCTATCTTGTTTTGTTTCTTTTCACTGCTTACTCTATTATTAAAGTCGGCGATTTGTGACGAGGAAAAACTTCTACGCAGATAGCGGGCTTATCAGTTGAGCATCAATGCGCGCTCGAGCCATGAATCAACGCGGGGCGGTACATTCTTCAAGTGTTTTGTACTCTCTGTCTTGCTGAAGTTCTATGAACTCTTCATTTGTTTTAGGGAATTCATATTCTCTCCGGCTGTTTCATTTCATGTTGATTATCATGGGAAGAATAAAATCAACGTGGAGAAAAATGAAGCAGTTTTTGGTTGGTAACGACAAGCATAGCCTACAGTCTCTCAATGTCTTCCAATAGGTTTTTCGACGGGAATCGGGCAGTATCGCACAGAATTTTTTTTTTTGAAGGAAATTGTGAACAGAAACGGATTTTTAAGAGTAGGGCGCTGTGTCAACGTAAGTATTAGATTTTTAATGTTGCATATCGAGCACATAATTCGAAGGTGGCTGTGTACGAGTGGTTGTCCGATATCAGAGCAGATCTTCCTCATGTTCTTGCCAGCTGTGGTCCAATAAGCTTTTGTACAGATTGGTGAGTACATCAACCCTCCATTAATAGTGTCATCCTAGCTTGTTCCAGATGCTTTTAGAAGTGAACTAGCTTGCTTACCCGGCTCCGCTCGGCCCTGTCAAAACACTGTGATAAAGGTCCCATCCCTATCCCTGTAAAGCCTTTCCCTGTACCCACTTCTACACTTCATTTCCCGTTACCTTTGTTCTATTCGGAATCGCCATGCTCCCTTACCCACCTGTGTCAACTCCCAGCCCTGTAGCTCAAATTTTGCAAAAGATCGATAAAATCGACATCGATCGATAACGAAAAGTAGCCGTTGACACGCTCCCCGCCTTGAAATGTATGTGTGCCAAGTTTGGCCCAAATCGGTTTAGAAATAAAAATTTCTATTCCGCACATGCGTACAAACAGACATACAGACAGACAGACACACATTCAGCTTTATATATAAGCTAAGTAGATGGCTTACCCGGCTCCGTCCGGCCCTGTCATTATTTTAATCGTAATCAGCATGCTCGATTACCCCCCTGTACCAACTCCCAGCCCCGTAGTTCAAATTTTGCAAAAAATCGATAAAATCGATATCGATCGATGACGAAAAGTAGCCTATGACACCCGCCGGGGCCCGAAGTGTATGTGTGCCAAGTTTGGTCCGGATCGGTTCAGAAATGGAATTTTCTATTCGGAACATACGTACAGACATACATACAGACAGACAGACAGACAGACAGACAGACAGACAGACAGACAGACAGACAGACAGACAGACAAACAGACATTCAGCTTTATATATAAGAATTTTATGCTGTAAGTGAAAGGGTGGGAATACAACAATTTTTCCAGGAAAAGGAGTTACGGACTTGTTTTGGCTACCCGTTGCCGAGTTACGAAAAGAGGATGGTCATGTAGTGAAGGGGATCCTAAAAGGTGTTGGATTCTTTGGTCTATGTTCTGCAGGCGATGTCGGTATGGCGTAAGCTGTTGTTGGAGTAATCCAGGTAAGTTCACCGAATTGAAGGGAACAAAAATGTATGCACTGGATATTCAGATGCTTGCGGAGTTAGTACTTCAAAAAATGCAGCCAAGAGCACCTTATGTGAATGAACGTAATTGCCGAGCGTTGGCTGCCAGGGCAGCTGCACCAACAGATCTTCGTCATGGGATGCAGCTCGCATACGACATCGTGTCAAATGTAAGTTACCACTACAGCCAGCGGCGCACTAGTATCAGTATTTCGGTATCATTCGATTTCTAGGGCTACCGACAGGCTTGCGATTTGGAACTCGCAGCACAAGAAGATGACCGTCCGGACAATCTTCCTTCCGCATTGTCCTTAAAATCGCGCCAAAGACTTTCATTCGACCACTCGTTGTCAGCACACAAATTGGACATCAATTGCTAGAAGGTCGAAAAGCAGTTCATTTATCTCATTTTATTTACAACGATTTCTCAACAATTTCCTTTCTAAGTCTTCGCGTCCAATTTGGGACCTGATGTCTACCAAGACGAGCGATAAATGGAAGGACGAAGGGGTTCCCGGTGGCAATGGACAACATTAATTTTCGATGCTTTTCCTCTTTGAGCTTTCACGAGTTGCCTCCTTTCTCTGTGATTTGATATCAGTCCATTTAACCATTCGCTCCTAGAAGTTACAGGTGCATGTTTGTATCGCAAAGTCTGCTAAAATGTCTAAAAATGTGTAGGGAAAATCTTGTTCTCCCCAGGTCACGCGGTCTTTTGAAATCGTCATTCATCGTCTCATTTGCCTTTATGACACTGGAAGCTAGTAATGAGGTGCGTGTCATTGTTTTGTATTTTGCTGTACACATCAGTTTATGCTGCTTTCATCTGAATGTGTAGCTTGCACTTTCTTGGAATTTTTCTGTCATCAGTAATCGATAGTTTTTTTTTTGTGAATTTATATATATTCCAAACATATTCCCCAAAGCATTTTCTTGGAATTTCTCTGTCAGTCAGTAATCGAATTTTTTTTGTGGATCTGTATGTATATTCTAAATATATTCCTCAAATCTCAACTCTTTTGAACTGTTTGATCCAACAGATTCTTCTTGCTTATACATATGCTTTCTGCTTTCTTATGATTGTGCCTCTTTGCGAATATCAAATCTTAGCTTTCTCTGCTGATGCCTATAAATAGAATTTTTTCTTGCTGTTTTGCACTCAAGCTTCTGAGTCTTTAGGAAGCGATTCAAAAGTATGAGCTTGGAGATGATTTGCCCCTATACTTGGGACCGAATCGAATAATTATTCGATCATTCGAATAAATCATTCGAATTCGAATGATTCGAAAAGTCGTTCGAAAATTTGAGATTTCGAATAAAATTCGAAAGTCGAATATTCGTAATTTTCAATTTTCGAATATATTCGATAGTCGAATAGTCGAAAATCTTCATTTGCGAATATTATTCGAAAGTCGAATATTCGAAAATCTTGAATTTCGAATATTATTCGATAGTCGAACATTCGAGGGTCATTCATTCGATCATTCGATGTCCATCAAATATTCGAATATTCGTCGAGCACCGAGTATTCGGAAATTCGATAAGAATTGACTATTCGAAAATTCGATATGCATAGCGTATACGGGATGTCTCAAAAGTATGTACACACCGTTTTATCGTTAATACCTCCCAAAGTCTTTTGCCAATTTCTGGGTAACATCCAGTAGGGATTGCTTCAGCTTATAAATACAGCAGAAAGCGAATCACGTTTTTCTTATTGTGTTATCACAGTAGGAAACTCCAGCTTATATACCAACTGCAAAATAAGACATCCAAAAAAATTGTCCCAAAAAAGGTCTAAAATCTGTGCAGCAGTGTTCTTACGTATGCTGATTTTACTACGCACGAGTTTTGAAGCTTTTCAAATGAAAATCACATTTTTAAAAGGCGTTGCAAGACACTTGTTACGGTGTATCGTTTGTCCCCCACAAATTTCCCACAGGTACCACGTCACGTCGCTGCCTTTCGCTATTTTGAATGTGTTAACCTCGGGCACTTCCGTTGAAATCTCAGGAGAAACGTGTCAAAAAGAGCGAAAATATGAGAACTTTTTTGGGGGACACAGGATACCTGGCGTAAGTTTTGAAAAAAGCATTACGGTTGAGTGCAAATTCTACATAAAGTGAGTGTCTTTAGATATCTAAAGCAAGACTTTCAGCCCTTTTGATTCTTTTTCTTGGGGAAATGGCTCTTGATGTTTTGAATTCAGTCTTACGGTAATTTTACCACAGTGAAAAGCGATTGATAAATCGCCCCATACTCTAAGTTGATGTCAGTCTACAGATCTACATACTGTTGGGACCGCTGTATATCCAATCGCAACTCTCAGTGAGGGTATATAATCTTTTTTGAAATACGAAAAATCTCTTCATAACCGTCACAGGAGTAACTTTTAAGTTCCTAAGTCTCTTCGTCACGACTAAACCGTTTTTCCATCATAAATTGTATCATAAGAATGCGTCCATTCTTAGCACTTACATGGAACAATTTATTCTTAGTGTTTTGGTCTTTCATAGGCAGTCTCAATGACGTAAATTATTCGGTCAGTATTCGAAAATCGAATAATATTCGAGAACCGAATAATATTCGAAATTCGAATAACGAATGATATTCGATATTCGATACTATTCGATTCGAAATTTTCATTTTCGAATAATATTCGAAAGCCGAATATTCGAAAAAAATTTCGAATTTCCCCAAGTATACCGCACACGTCTTCAGCAATCGGTCGGTATCAACATGCTTGAGGTATTCAAGTCTCCATGCGCATCTCATATGCAGGCGCATCTCATATGCAGTATTGAATCTTACCGTTTTATCATGTGCACAAACAAATTCGCGTCTCCTCCTTCAATTCAGTGTCGAATGCCAGGCATGTGCTCAGTGTCGACCAGGCATGTGCATTGAAGAATGTCTCGCAAACTCAGCTAAGCGAGAACGTCGTTATGCATTGAAAGATTTCGTCAATACTGGACTGAAAAAGATTTGATAGGCAGCGTCCACGTCCCTGTCACCAGTACAGTATTTATCGGACTACTCAGGGATCTATGCCAGGGCCTGGCAAGGGTAGGTTTCTAGGATTTCCAAAAACGAAGTCTCCCCTGATTTTCGAAAGCTTTACGAATCCCCTTTGACCGATCTACTTAGGCGAAGATGCAAACAAGAGGGATACTAATCTTAAAGAAAAAAAACAGTAGATAATAGTGAAAATCCAGATTGAAGCTGAATACTACGCATGCACAAGAGTTCGGCATGGGAGCGCGATATTTAACAAAGGGATTTATGAAGAAATTAAGGCAAAAAACAGAGGGAAGGGAATGATATGAGAATTTCTTCATGCTCAGGGATAGATTTTTGACCGGGGAATCCGTCGATGATAGAATCCAAAACATATGTGAAGTGACAGAATATGCTCCAGACGATCTCAAATCGTCTGGTGACCGTCTGGAGGCAGACTATTTCTGGAAAAGGATTACTTCACATAGGTTTTCAAAACTTTTTGCATATTTTTTTTGCAAATAATTTTCTATATATACAGTTCAATTTTGGTGTCATGTGCTTCTGTGTGACCTGTAAACAAGCAATTTGTTTACTTTAGCTCTGCTTTCAAATCGCGCGCACTTTTCGTCATACACGATAGAACATGTCAATCGTGTGATAACCTATCCGAAAAGCTTGTGGTCGTGGGTCTCAAAGTCATTAATATTCAAGCATGAAGAAGGCATAGAGGTAGTAGAATCAGTGCAAGCCTCTGCGAGGAAGAGGTAACATTGGCATTTTAATGAGATCGTCACCTGTAATTCCTGCCCTAGTCTCGTAGTTGTAAGCAAAGGCTACCTACAAAAACCAAGAGTAGACCGTATTCGTCGGTTATCATTGTGAATGCCAGTGAATATTATCAACAAATGTTTATACCTTAAATTTCTTGATCTGTAGCTCATTTGCAATAGAATTCGTGAAGTAAGCAAAGAGGTGGCAGTCGTTTGTATTCAGTCCAAAAAGAAGTGGTTAACTTACCCTTGAAATAATGTTAACATGATCGAAAATGACCATCTCACTTGAGTGGCCCAATACTTGGAAATCTTAGAATCCGTTGGTGTTTGGTCCACAGGGTTAGTTGAATTGCTAATTACGAAAACGATGCTCTTTGCTTTTATAGATATCTTATTATGCTTACCGACGTATACGATGTGGGCCAAAACATTAATGTGCTAGTATTTTGCATGATGGTCCTATCTGACATTCTTAGCAAATATCATGTTATCGTTAACATCAGAATCACCAATAACGACCCCCCCCCCCCTCCCTGACCCCTCAATACGACTCCACAGGTTTGGCATGGCACACCCCACGCTTGACCCTGAATACAAGATAGATGCAGGATTTTCATTTGCATTTTGCAAGAAAAAATATAACTGAGTGAGTTTGTCAAAAATCTTTTCCAAAGATGGCTGCTCAATGTTACTAAAATAATACACAAGTGCTCTTGAATTTCAGAGGCGCTCCTCCTAACGCGCTACAACTCGACATAATCAAGGTCGCACCTTGCGAAGTAAGAAAAAAATAAAAATTTGGAGCAGTTTTCCTGCGAATTGAAATTAAAAGCACAAAAATTGAGAAATTGCCCATTGTTGGAGCAAAGTTCTATATTCCCACTATTGTGTTTTCTCGATAATAATGGTGAACATTTCCCCAAATTGAGCTGTTTTGTTTTCCTCGTGGAGCTGTTCATCACACTCATTTAATTTATAGTATGTATTCTTAAGCTATAAGTCGGCTATTATTCAAGAATAACAATTTTACCTACAAATTTATTTATCAATTACTGAGTAAAAGCTATATTCATCGATTGTGACTAGTAGTTAATAAGTTTTTTCTTTCATTTATTGCAGCTTTTATGTCTTTTACCATTCCTTTTGAGACCATTTTTTTAAGACTATGATTTTTTGCTAAGCTTTCGATTTTTTCTGTATTCTGCCTAACTTTTACTATGGTGGTATATTATTTTAGCATTTGTGATCAAGTCTCGTGCGCACATCAAGCCTCATCCAAGTCACCGTTACTGAGCTTCTGTTTCCACTCTCATAATCTTTCCAAGACTTACTAACAAAAACGTTGGATACTCAGTATCTCAATAACTTGGCCGTTACCTGGTTTCGTTGTCGTTACATCTTAGATGATCTAATGATGGGTTTTGAGAAATTAGTTCGAAGAAACTCAAGAGCTTGTTCAACGGATCTGGAAACATTACATTTGTAGGTCTCTCAGTTTTCCACATTCCGCTGTTTTGCCATGGATTTTTCACACATCAATTGATACAAAGCAAGGGAATTGGGTTAAATATGCTCACGAGCTTTGGCATTCATGGCAAATGCATTGACTCTATTTGGATATATTAATATCTCAGGAAAATTGTGCGTCAAATACGGTTTGCTTGTTCTGATCGTTGTTTGTGCCCAGATTCGGTAATCGAGTAAAAGACAAGTTCTCAAAGACGGATGTAATTCGCCAAAAATTGCGTTTTACTTTTCCCCATCATTGAGACGGGCCCAAGTTTGCATTCGGTAACTCCCATCTGTTTGTTTTTACAGATTACATGATTGGATAATGTCAGCAAAGACATCCAAGGTCCTCTCATGGTATCAGTCCACAGCTGACAAACGGATACTGCGGCGACACAAGATAGGACCTCCAGATGTACATCCTCAGGAGCCTCGCCAGGAGGAGGATAATCTTAGCAATGAACGGCTTCGCAAAGGATATCAGGTTGGGGCATCAAGGTTTTATTTTACCAATGGTCAGAAAAATTTTGTGGACATAGAGACTTGCCTCATGAGATTTGCTGTAAAGAGCAAGATGGTCAGTATCACCAATAAAGAATGTTATGCCTGCTATCCATAGATTTGCCCCTCTTGACCATTTAATTGCCGAATTACGGAGCTTCCAAGTAGAGTTAGCGAAGTTAGGGCGTCTACCGTCCTACAAATTTATGCTTTCGTTGAAGCCGGAAATTTTTGCTGCGTTATCTGCCCGGATCCGCAGATGTGCCAACGCGTTAAGCATGTAAAAACATCTGACGACATAGTAGGAGCCGTAGGCCGTTTCCCAAGCAAGTGCTGGTCTTACAAGGGAAGGATACTTGGTGACCGTGGATTTTTGCAAGGAGATATACCGATTGCCATTAGATGCGCCTTGAAACGCTGTTTCCAAACGCTAGTCCTTGTTCAATATCTCTTTGCGACTCTCTGAACGGAATCATGGATTTTTTCCCATATATTTCACGAGATCTAAGCAGTCAGAATCGCCAGTATCCAGGCTTTTTAGACTCGGATATTTCGGAAACAGTTTTCTTGAGCATGTACAGCTGTATTTCATTAATACTTTCTTTTGTAGTGCGTAAGTGAACAACCTACCGATAATGGTGAATCCTGTCATCAAAACAGCGCAAATGTTGGTGGCAAGAGTGTTCATAACTTCCTTTCGGAAGAGCGCGAAGCAGATACCGAAAGCAGATTTGGAAGCGTATCAAGATGCATTCAATGGTGTCCGTTCCATCTCAAAAGGCCACGGTCACCAAGTATCCTCTCCTTGTTCACCTTAACGACATGCACTACTTCTACTCATTATACTTGCAAGATGGATCACGTTCCTACAGTCATATTCTGGCCTTTGCCAGTTCGGACTGTGCTAAAGCCTCAACGCTGTATACGTAGTCAACCACAAGCAAAGAAATTCAGTTGTCATTACAGGTGGGAGCAACACCATTCGAGCACGAATCGCTGGTGTTCAACAGTCGATCAGCGAAACTCGACCGATTGGATGAAGCTCATGCCAAATCAGCTGCTCTTTTGAACCTGGTGAGTGTTTCCTCGGAAATGCTACACAGCAACGTAAAACTTTGTTATATGAAAAAAAGGCATCCCACAGCGTAATCGAGAATGTGATTTCATACGACGCAACGTCGTGATTACGCGACTGTTCTTATCCAGCAGGGTAATCGTTTGAGGACCGCACAGGTCGTTGTGGCTGCGAGCTGAGCTTTTACGAAACATCTTTATCAGCATAAAATTCGCACAACTTGGAGGTGAATGTTCTCAGTATGGTGTTGCAAAAGATTTGTGATTTTTTCTTCTGGTATCAGATGTTCAAAAAGACTGTTGGGCAACGTTTTAACGCGTCGCTTTTGAATCTTACCCTTTGCAGTGGCGTTTTACAAGCTTCCAATTTTTTCAGGTACTCCATCGAAAAGGTGAGATCAATGCTAATCTGGACAAGGAGAGGCGGAAGAATAGGGAAACAACGGGTGCACAATTTGTGAGTTTTTGTTCACGTATGTATCTTTCCCCTTTTCTTACTTTTTTTATCGCTTGCTTTATGAGTGCAATATCTTTGAAAACTTGTGGAGATCTTGGCGTTTGAGGACATTGTTATTGCAGACTGGCCCCTTCGGGGCTCAAATTTAAGTTTTGATCTCAATCATACTCGGGCAGAGTTCACACGATTTTCATCGCCCCGCGATTCTACCAGCAAGAAAAACAGGAATCTATTGCATGCCGATCATCTTGCATCTCGGTTGTGATAGTTCTTCAACACGACCACTCGTGATTAAATTTCAACCGAAATGCAAGATGATCGACATGTAATGGTCTTGTTGGGGGGGGGGGGAGATCGTGGCGCTGAAATCGCGTGAACTCTAATCGAGGCCTTGAAGATGTACCCTCGATATCATCCCATATGTCCTTCCTCAATATCACGTGGATTACGTGGCTTAACGAGGCGCCGCCTCGTCTCGGGCTCATCCATGTAATCCACGTCATGTTGAGGGAAGACATATGGGATGATATCGAGGGTATATTAGGCGCAAAACACATGTAAGGTGCTGCTATAAGAACGTAGGGTTGTTTTAGCACACCGTCTTGAAATATTTTTGCTAGTTCATCTCTGATTCTTTACGGTTCAGACCTTCCTCCAAGCATGATTTGTGTCTTGGCATGTCGAATGTGATACTTAATCGCTATAAGTTTTGCCACTGTTTTGATACACGGGGCTAATGTCGTTGTGAACAAGGCAACCAACTGTGCTGACTGGGTGCAGATGAGCTTGGTGTGAATAGGCAACATGGACTCCAACAGAGTGTATCTTCCTTTCAAACTTTCCCCTCACATACCATGCAACTTATCGACAATCACTCCATGCAAGTAAGCCAAATCGCTTATTACCCTTGAGTTTCGAGTCATCTTATGTTTTGTGAGTATTTTTGACGTTTGATTGGTGTGTCTAACCTCTGCATGCCGATCGGATCAAAATTATCTGTAACGAATGTTACAAAACGTGGTAGTTTGTGTTATCTGCAAAACTAAAAGGCGTTTTACTTTCGTGCACGTCTTCAATGATAAAGGTTACCTTTAATTTGGTGGTAAAACATATTGTATCATCGACAGTGCGATGACAGATGATGCGATATCTATAGCACAGTTACTTGAGTGATTCTAAACTTCACAGTCTTTTACTAATACGTTTCATGCATACCTGGGGCAATCAACTTCGTAAAGAGTTTGCGGAGCACCTGTTTTTGTTTTTTACTGGGAATACTACTAGCGCGGTAAGTATCGTCTTTGTGTGGCAGGTGCTACCTGATCCCAACCGAAACCCAACAACACTCTCATTTTTTGGTTACAACGGGATATACAATAGGATAATGTATAGACATCTAAGCTCGGTGTTCTGATGCCCGACGATTCTTCAGTCGCTCACAAAGCTAGGGGTGATCTCTGGCATTCAGTTGGTTCTGCCCAAACAGCAAAGACGAAAGATAGTGCGCTTGCTAAACTTACGCTAGTCATGTGGTGCGTTGTTACCACTTTTAAGTTCTAAGCACGGGTATTCGCACAAACCACTATCCTATTTCCACAAAGTTAAGTCAAACCTTGTAGGCAACTGCCAAAGCGAAGGAGCGCGCGGCATGGTTCACGGATCTTGCTCGAGGAAAGGCTTTGTCGCAACTGGCGAAAAAAGTGCCCACCATCAAGAGGCGAGAAGAAGGACTAGAATACCTCTGCGACTATCGGTTTGTCTAGTTTCGAACACTCCATAAAGACAGTCTTTGGTTTGTAGGATACCGCCTTTTCGCGCCTTATGGTATCTAAAAGTCACTGCTGCTCTTACTGGAAGCCCTAGCAATGCCAAACAGAAGAAATCCATTAGTGATTTATTTTCAGCAGGTAACTTGTCATGCCAGTCAGTATCCATAGTCATAATCTGCTCTCTTTGCAGAGTACAAGGATATTTTTGTAAAAGCTATCAAAGAATTGACTAATCGTATGTGGGATGTCAATGACTTGTCGACTTGTCCCGTTTACAAGGAGCGATGGCTCTACATTTCAAATCTGAGCAAGTGCGCGTTCGAGGTAAGCCTGACTTTTTGTGCATTTTGTACCGCCCTTAACCAACCATTCGCATAGGATGGAGTAATTGAGCGGCAAGATTTTCTCAACGAGTTATGCGACATTTTCTCTGACTACTTCGTGAGGAGAATCAAGAATGAGGAGAAGTTGCCGCAGCTCAGGTACGTCATCTCGGCTTTCGCTGTGAATGATTCTGCAATATCTTTGCAGAGTCTACCTGCTTTTTCTCACCCAATTTTTGCGTCATATCAACAACAACCTTATTCTTGCCCGACGACTTGCTCACATGATCGCTATGAAGTTACGCTTGTACAAAATGGAGTACGACGAACAAAACAATACGTGAGCAGTTCTTCCTTGTAATTTGTTCCTGGGCTATGGTTTCGCTTCAACATGTTTGTTTTGGCTTTCCTTTTTCCTGACTCGCTGTGTTTCAAGGTTTTTATACAGAAATTGTTTCTTGCGCTGAAGAACTGGTCTGTTTCTAGGGTCACCAAAGGATCAGAAGCATTCAATGCACTGACAAAATGCTCAGCTCTGCGACCTGTAATACATGTTCTTACAGCAATCTTGCAGAATATAGTCATCGATGCCCCAGCAGCAGTGATTTGGAATAAGTTCAAGGTTTGGAGTGACAGAGAGTTGCAGATTTCAAGCAAATGTTTCCAGGTATCTACGACAGACAAGCTTCCATTCATTTTATCCCAGCTTTGCGGTTCTCCTCTTGACCTCCTTCCTTGTCCTGTACATGAACTTCCTCTTCCTCCTGGGAAAGGTAACGTAAATTGTCATGCTGTCTGCATACCAAGTCAACACTTTTCAAGAATCTGAAAGATTTATGGAGCTTTTGAAATTGCGGACTGCAGAAATCGTGAGACGAAGCCAGGCAGTGCAAGATAAGTGGTCGTTCAACCAGAAGGAACAGTTTGCTTTCGGTAATTCTTTTCGATTTCTGCCGCTTTTCTTTCTTCATACTGCGATGAGTTGCTTACCGACTCGAATACGCATAACATCTGTCAAAGTGGCGTTTTTTTATTTTGTATTGAACAAATAGTTTTTGAGATGCCCGAGCCATTATGTGTTAAGGTACCTTCATACCGCGCCGGCAGCCGCCGCTTAGCCGCTTCTGCGCTTTACCTCAGTATTCCAAGGCCTTTCCAAAACGTTAAAAGATTGTGTTATTTGTAATCAGCATGCCGGATAACACTAAACCAAGTTTGAGCAAGATACGTGGTTCTGTTAGTGAGCTCCGGATAGTGGAATAGTGCACAAAAGCGGCTAGCGGCGGCTGCCGGCGCGGTATGAAGGCACCCTCAGTGCTCTCTGCACTACTCAACTTTCTATATTTGCAATTTTAGCCAAACTCGTTAACGGATGCCTTGATGTGATAGGTATTTTGGATTCCACAGATGTGCTAGAGCCAAATATCTTGCCGGCTGTCACTACCCGAATCTTTACTTTTAGATCGGAGAACTGGGCTGAAGAAATGCTCATTAGGTGGGAAATCTTAAAATTTATATGTAACATCTTCGAATTATCGCTCGGCTTTTAGAATCAAGCTTATGTTGCACTGGGCTGTAACCGCAGAACGTGAAGGCAGTCACAGAGCGATTATCGTAACCAAAGTATGTTTTGTTCCTCCTGTGCTGCATCGTTCAGGTCATTTATCAACAGGTCATTTATCAACAAGTGCTGAATCAACAATCATATATGTTCGGACCTTTCCACATGCAGGATATCATCTTGAATTATTTTTATACCGAAGCTCCTACACCCGGGTCAAAGTTTTATCATAAAGAGTTTGCATCTCTAGTCACCCTATTTATTGAACTCTCTCGCTTCAAGTTGTTTGTACATGACTGGTGAGTGTTCCTCTTTCTCTTATCTTCGCTCTCTATAGAAATGGCCCTTCTCTGTTTCCAGTTTTGTGAAGGAACTTATAAAATCTGGTGAGCTTGACTATCAACGGCCGATAATGGATAAATTCAAATGTGAGAGCAAGCCACCTGATCCTATAACCTCATCACTGATGTCTGCTCAGGTTAGCAATTCATACTAATTCTATTACATTTACATAGTTTTCTTTGAGAATGAAAAGATAGGGAGTCATTTCGGTGCTTGCGCTGCCTCCACTGCTGCTCCCCGCATTCATCAAGGAACTTTTTCTTTCTTTTAATCTACGATTTTAGTTCGAAGATTTGACCCCTGATGAACCACCAAAACCTACCAGCCTCATTTCTTACAAGCAGGATGATAAGGACGAACATATATATCTCAATGATGAAATGTCCATGAACGATCGTATTCTTATACAGGTGAGATGACGGCAGCGCAGTAATACAAGACAAAAATATAATTCAGATGCCATTGCGACAAACCGAAGAGCATCGAAGTGAGGCCAATCAAAGAGCGCTCGTTTTGTACGGAATGGACGATGCTCGTGAAAACCATAAATCCGAAATGAAGAAGGTTTGTACACATTGAGCAAGTTACGGGGTTCACTCGCATTTTCAGATCGCAAAAGAAATTTGCAAGATATGGCAAAAGAAAATTTATGTGCAGTTTTGTGAAGGAAATGAAGCACCAATGTGGAAGCAGTCCATCAATTCACAGAGAATCGTCGAGATTCTTGCAAGATTCAGGTGTGAATGCTTACAGATATCCAAATTTGAAAGAGTCAGGATACAGTCTGTATCAGTCGGAATCCTGGAAGTAACATGACTTGCGTCTACACCGCTATGTTTTACAGTACGTCTACAAATTGCTGTAGATGGACGTGATCGTACCCACTCGTTCTTCCTCCTATTTCTTTGACTAAATGGCGCGTAAGCCTTTGACATTGCGGACGACCGATTCCAATTAAAGTTCCGGCTCAATCCGTATCAAAGCGGACTGTACACATTTGTAAAAAGAGTAAAAGTTCTCCCAATGGATGACAAGAGATGAGCTGTGAACACTTTCCTAATTCAACTCCGTTATATGTGTTAGGTTCGAAGCTTCATCAGATGAGGTGTAGTCTTAACAATCTTTCTACTTGTTTCAACTTTTATAAGTTTCAAATTCTCGTTCTGTTGCTGGACTCCCTTTTGAAGAGTTTACCGCTCACATCTGCAATTTTACCTTCATTGCAGAAGTCAAACATACTATGATCAAATGATGATTTGTGGCTGGTGCGCAGAATCCTTCTCCGACATGATCCGTGACTTTATATTGGGCCATTCTTTGCAAATGCCTACGTCTGAGGCTTTGGATATCATTTGCAGCATGTTTGAGTCTGCTCAGTATATATACGGCATATTCGAACTTTGTGAAGCGGTGAGTATTTACTGCTTGAGTTGATGAGCTGCCGTGTAACAGGACATGGGGATTCGTGCAGGTAACTCCATTACTGCCGCGTGCTGAGAAAGTAATTCGCTGTCTCGCTGCTGATGTGATACCGGGAAGTATGTCAGGGCAATTAGGTTACGTCTTTGTTGCTTACATCTGCAAGCATTGGCATTATTTCTTGCATTCTGATCTTGCACCAACGATCACCAACCAGTGAGTAGCTCTCAACTCTCTTTGGCATGCCTTGCAGTTCACTTCATATTTTGTTTGCTTAGGTTGTATGAGCTCATTGAGCGAATGATTCGAGCTCACGAGTACCCTATGACAAGCTGGGGTCGAACCATAGCAGCTTTCGTTTACCATTCGAAGAGCCAGTTGAAGAAGAGCCAGGTGAGTACCGCCCATTAACTGCTATCATATTCCAACAAATGTCCTTGAGCTTTCTGACGTGAAACTTCATGGTGCTCGTGACGATTTTCGTCACGTTTTCAATCATGGAAGCTCCTCCTATAATGGTGGAAGTAGATACAATGACTTGTTCTTCAAGGATGTGTTTGAAAAGAAGCTGTAAGTTTCTTTTCATAAAGAACCTTTTCACCATGTTGTCGATGTCTTGATCATTCTGTTCACTACCTGCGTTTCCCACAATTCAGGCGTTTCTTCTCTTATCACGAGTACAAAAAGAGACTTCCATCATTTGGGCAACTCTACAACCGCTATTCTTTTGTTATTAATTCCTTCATCGCTGCTAAGGTACGTTTTCTTCTTTATTTTGGCTACGGTGGTATGTACAATGTGATTATCTGCTCTTTTTGTAGAACTTCATGCGCGATCACGATCGGCTTTCTGATCTGGCTACTTTCTGCGGCCATATATCTGCTCAGATACCTGCACTAGCAGACGAATGGGTATGAACTCAAAACTACTATAGCTAATTTGCTGAGACATGTCTTTTCAGGTTGCGGCTATCAAGGCGCTTTGCTGTACTAGTATGAGTCAGCATACGGGTTATGGTAAACTTCTAGAGTACATTGATGTACGTTTCTAAATTAATATTTTCATATGATTCTCTTACGTTCAGGTGAACGACTGCTCCACGCATCATCCCATAGCCACTTTTGTGATGCTCTTAGCTGGTAAATATGCGTTCAGTGTCCCCAGGTTGATTGCCGAGCTTTTAAACAACGCATTTCCCGTTATCATAAAAAGAGAACAAAGCTCATTTGTCAGTGGGAGGTACAATGGTTAGTGATACTCGTGTACAGTGAAGTATGCCATTTAGTCTCTGTTTTAGTGATTGGCAGGACCGAATATGACTGTGAACCCGGAGTCTGTCTCACCTTGCTGATCCTCGCTCAGATTAGTTGTGCCACTGATGAACCTTTTCACAGTGAGTAACTTCTCTTTGTTTTGACTTCTAGTTCAATTAGTTTTGTTTTATACGGTTTCAATTCCCATTATGATATGTTGCTAAGGCCTCGGGCAGAGTTTACGATTTCACCTCGCTATTCTTCCGAGAAGACAACAGCTCGAGTCCATTGCGGGTCGATCACCTTGCATTTCGGTCGTGATAGTTAGTCACTATTAGTCGTGTCGGAAAACTATCACATGCAAATGCAATATGATCGGCATGCAATGGACTCGTACTGTTGTTTTATGGGAGGATCACGAGTCATGAAATTGAGTGAAATGTGCCCGACCTAAGGCAAATTGTCCTACTTTTTGGGGCAAGCATTGTAGACAGCATTTGACCAGAATTTTCAGTGTCGGAACATTACGTGGGTGGAAGTCCGAAAGTCAAACTGTTGAATAGATGTGCAGATGAAATCATTCTATCCATGATTCAGTGGTGAGACTATTTTTTTACGCTTTGCAGTGTGCGTCAACTCAAAACAACGTCATCAAACTTTTCAGGTGTGAAATGGATAATGTCTTGTTCCCGATGTTGAGCAACATTTGCATTTTGATGGACACCTTGCGAGCGAGATTCAAAGATCTTGAGTGAGTTGATGCTTTAAGGCCATTTAAAACAATGTTTGCCTACTTTGTTCTGGTCTTGCAGTCCCTTTCATACTTTTTCCTTGTTTGATTGCTTTGTTAATGGTATCATCTTACATGTGCATATATTAGGTTGGTGCAAAAATAATGGCCGTTTTTCTGGGTCTATTTTCCGAAATGCTTTTCCCACCAAATTTCTTTCTCAATACAGTTTTTGCATATCATCGGAAAGTTTTCTTCATGTACTTTCTAACACTGGTGCAGTTAAGCTTTTGTCCTCATTTATGAGAAGTCCACCAGCATTTTCCACAGCCGCACTCGAAATCGAAATCTTCTTGCATTCGCTTTCTTGGTCACAATTCAGGCGCAGCTCAACGTCTTTTGGAAACATATTTGTTGGTATGGGATAAGTATTGTTCAGCTATTGTATGCTTAATTATGATTTTCAAAAATATCTGTGAGAAAATCACGCTTCAAGGTAGATGCTCGCTGCTGTTTTATGTGTTAAAACTCTCTCACGATCAAGGCAGTCGTCTTAGCTTCGCTCACTTCTGTGCTTGAGATTAGAACATCCTTCCCGAGGTTTTTGCGAAATTAATGCGAAAATTTAGCTGTTCAGCGCATCAAGGTTTCCAAATTTTCATTATTTGGGACTTTCAGGCCTACCATGAATAGCATCAGAAAAGTGGACATTTTTGATTCTATTTTTCGCATGACTTCTTCGTTGAAGTCTTCTCTTTACTTACTACTGGCATGTGGCTACAAAATAAGCTAATCAACCATATGAACAACACTAGAAGAGGGTTGTAAACCTCCAAAAACGAGGTTTTCAAGAAAAAAAAACTTTTTTGACGCATGGTTTTCTTCCTGTTTGTTATTTCGATATAACAGATGTGCGCTAAGCCATGAGAAGTTTACTGCTTCTCTTTTGACTACAAAAGATATGAAGGCTGGGCAAATTTATAGCTTTTCACAATTTCCCCAAGTAAACGCTCTCCTTCACCAGCGAGACCCAGTTAGCCAAAGCGTCGGATTTCCTCAAGTAAACGCATTTCTCCACCATCGAGACCCATTTATTCATGCAATGGACTTTCCAAGTATGAGCTCATTTCCACCAGCGGGACCCAGTTACCCAAAGCGTTGCATATAAACGCTTTCTTCTACCATCGATATCAATTACTCAAGCGATAGGTTTCTCCTAATAGAAGCTCATCTTCGCCAACGAGACCAAGTTACTCATGGGTTGAAATTTTTCTAGTAAACACTCATCTCCACCAGCAAGACCCACTCGAGCACTTTCATTTTTTGAAGAAAGCAAGCCTAAGTTATGATAAAAGCTTGCCTGCACCAGCGACACCCAATTACACAAATGTCAGCCTTTCTACAAGTCAAAGTGAGATTTGAAAATAAACGCCGTCAAATAACGTTATTAACTCCTTGCTCAAAATTTCTGAACATTATCTGCGGTGCGAGATATCTAAATGCACTTTCTTCTGAGACGTCGTTTATGCTTTTTGGTCTATGGCAGAAATTAGATTTTCTCAAAAGGTTTTAGAAGCGAAAATGTCATCAAATTCGCAGTATCCCTAAACAGTGCTCCGAAAAGCGTCAAATTCTGGTTCCACCGTGAGACGCAGTTACTCTTGCGATCTAACTTTCGTAACAGAGAAGAAGAACATAAAAATGTAAACGCATTCAAAGGAAGAATTAGGTGGGCCTGCCAAAATCCGATGGTCTTGCTAAAAAAATCTTTTAAAAAATTACGGCGGCTACGAGAAAGAGAAAAAAGTAGCACTGTATTCTATAAGGTTTACTCTATCGAATCTTTGCTTGAACTCCTCCTGAGGATTAATATGAAAGTTTTAGAAACTCGTGAAACTTGACCGTCTCAAAAAGCATAGGTCGCAGATTTTGGCTATTTTCTGGAAGTCATTGATTATTTAGCAAAAATTTCATAATCATTAGAAAGAATAAAATTCTGCATCGAACGTTTCTAAGATCTCTTATAAACCTTTGTTCCGTCACATGTGGTGCCCGTTTGAAAAAAGCGAAAATACTTTTGGGACGACCTAATACAGGGTGCGGCAAAAGTCTGGGAGCCTAGTACTTTTTCGTACAAAACGAGAAGGGAAGTACCTAGAAACGAAAAATTTGGCGCACATATAATTCGAACCATTGCAGATACAGCCCAGTTCTTGAATTGCAAAACTGCCTCTTTTGTCTCCCACGCAGCCCTACAAAATCTTGGCAAGTCCACATGTCATGGCACGCAGGTAGTCGTAATGGGATTCGCCCCACGCCTTCGCAGTAACGCTTATTTTACCTTGGCAAATGCACAGCGTGATAGTGCAAACTTTTCTTTACAACATACTTCCATTTTTTGCATTGCTTACAAGGGAATGGCCAGAAATCGAAGTGGCTATTCCAGACAAGCTGCGTATCGTTAGATGCAGCATGAAGCGCTGATTCTAAATCTGTCTTCTTTATCTGCTTATGCTTTTCTGGACGAAGTTATAAGCCATTAAAGACCATTATTTTGCTAAGGAATTATGCGTGAAATTGAAAATTTAGCCGTACAGAGCCACGTTAATAGCCTCAGTGCTGGGTCAAAACATGCCGCTAGCTTACTTAAAATCTTTGAAGCCAGAAACTGAGCTAAAAGCGCAACAATGTGCTCAATTTCGCTGTTTTTATGTATGATTTTTTCACAATAAAACCACTTGTAGCTTCGTCCACAGAAGCGGGAAGCAGATAAGGAAGACAGATTCGAAGTCAGCGTTTTATACTGCATCGAATGATATACAGCTTCTTTGGTTTGGCCACTTCGACTTCTGACCATTCCCTGGTTAGCAATAAAAATGATGGATTTTCAATTAGAAAAATGTGTACGTCGCATACCGGAATTTTGGTACAATTGCGCGAATAAAAACTTGGAAATTAAAGAAAAACTTGAAATAAAAAGTATAAAAATTGTTCCCATGGCCGAATTTCAATAGATTCTAATTTAGAAGACGTATGCAAAAAATACAGCCCTGGTCCCAGTGTCTGTTGAGCATTCTATAGCTTTTAAATTTATTCTAAAGACGGATTTCCACTGGCACGTAGGTAACATTCGCAAGCTTTTATTTTCCGTTCATGCAAGAGCAGCTCCTGGCAAAAGCAAAACTAGGATACAATAGCGCAAAGCCTCTTCTATGTTGTATGCATCGAAGTTCTGTAAAATATTAACAGCATCTCTAGTTACAGCAAAAATTGTAAATACCAAAAATTCCTGTTTTTTCGCTTGGAAAAATACTAGTTTGGTAATTTCCATTCTTACAAAAACATATGGCAGCCATTTCCAGCCAAATAAGGTGTATTCTGTAGAGCATGACCGCAGCATCATGTGGCATAAAATTGAAATCAAAACCATCAGTATCTTTGTAATTGCAGTACTGCAAATTTAGACTCCCAGACTTTTGCCGCACCCTGTATATTGAACCTCGACCGGAGGAAAAACACATTTGCCTTTTTTTATGGATGTTGCTCAGGATCGCATATGAAATCATGTGATTTATGCGAAAACATCGTCTTGAGATTGTTGAAGTACACGTGATGGTGTATTTACAGTCTGATTTTTGTCCTTAGGCGGAATCTCACGAAGAAAGAATTCTTGACAGTTTGGTATACACGATAACATGCCTCGTTTTGAAATGCACAGGGAGCGTGTCCGCATCTCGTCTGGCATCTCCTCGTCTACCATCTGCTACCGTGTACGGAAAGTGCAGAAATTCATGCTATCATACGTACGTAGATGCAACTTGGCAAAACCAACATATTGTACTAATCTAACATAAAGAACGATAGTATTGAATGGAAAAGAGCTAATTCTTGGAAATTCACATTCTAGCTACATAATGTTCCAGCTTCGAACCTAGTCGCATTGTTGAATCGACCAGCTATAGGCGCGAATATCTCATGATCATGCTAAAGGCTGTGCAGCTCATCATCTGCGAAGAAGATTGGGTCACCATGAAAATGTTCAAGATTGTTGAAACGAATCGCATGGAAGCGTTCAATCATGATCGATTGAAACAGAACTGTCTGGTAAGTAATATTAGATTATTGACTTGGATAACAGGTCGGATATGCAGGGTCAGCAGTTATTACGACTTGGTATCCGTCGAAAAAGTGAGCGCGAAGTTGTTCGGGAATTGTCTGTATGTAATGGAAACTCGAAGAAGGCGCTAATTGACAAACTACTCGCTGTGATGAATATGTGGAACATGAGAGCGACGCTGTTTGACCTCATGCTAATGATCAAAGAGGTTCGCTACTCGGAATTACCCATATCGAATATTTTTGTTTTCTTTTGGGTCGTCAAAATGAGCTTCGTATTTTTCTCTTTCTTCAGATCTCACCTGAGGGTGCACAAAAGCATGCCCAACAGAGTGCGATTGCTGCTGATGCACTCATGGGTGAAATTGGGAAGTGCTGCCGCGACCTGTTCACGAATGCACATAAGGAAGGCTTGCAGCTCTCTTCAGCCATTGTGAGTACTTGCAGTAATTAGTTGTGGTCCTGATTTTCACAAGGTGTTTTAGCTCGGGCGAGACTTCCGGTTCCGTCATGTTACCAATTTCTGGCTAATAGCTCTTTTGGTGAGGCTGTGTCCCCAGCCGAACAATGTGCCGAATCAATTCCATCATATGACGGTAGTTTACCGCAAGTTTTATCATAGCAAGTTTGTTGATGTTGTTTGCCAAGGTTTCTGGGAAATTTCTCAAAGAAGCGGCATCTATGCTGGACACTGCCAATGATAGCTCGAAGGAAAGGATACAACAGAGGTTTCTTTTATAGTTCATGCATTATGATACTGATTTGATTAATTCAGCGCGTGGTTGCTATCCCAGCAGCCTTTCCTGAACTTAGTGTTAGCTTGCTTAAAGGGCGAAGAATTTCAACCAAATAAAGACCTTCTGGTCTCGTCGCTGTACAAGCAATTACTTGATCTCACCAGTAAAACAAAGGAGGTATAGCGAAATGTCTTCTTCCATACGGCTTGATCCCGTCCATTACAGAATCCCGCTTTGCCGCTCATGGAAAAATTTGCTGCTGAACGTGAAGGTCTGCTCTTACGGTTGTCGTTAGTAGGTGGTATATTTAAGCAGGTAGGCAAGAAGACTTTGGATTACGCGCATACTTGAAAATTGCTTCTGGCCAGATTTGTCAGCCTCAGCACAGTGAAGGCTGGTCTCATTTATTTTTCCAAATGATGCTCTATGGAATGGTTTCACCGGATAAAGACAGGTGCGAGAGTTAGACTTACAATAATAGCTGTGCTCAGCTTCTGTCGCAGATTTCTCGCTTCATTCTTTGTCAGCAATCACATGAAATTATCTTTATAAAATTGCTAACGTGTATACTACGCATCAGCATGTTTTCAGAATACTGTATGATTCTTGTTACGATATGCTGTCAACTTTAATGCTTTGGACGTTAACCGATCCTTCGACTGCGACACAGCAGCCAAGTGAAGGAAGCGAGCCAAAATTCCGTTGGCCATATTATTCCATCATAATAAAGAAGCTGAAAGTAAGAAAGTTGTCGGTTCTAAACTTTGATCTAATGGTGCTGATTGATTCAGAAAGAAATAGCTGATCAGAGAGTGCCTCCCGAGTTACGTGCTCTGCTCCAGTTTCTGCCCATACCGAAGAACACTATATCTGTATTTGCTATGGAGCCATATGGTTCAACACCTGCAGCTGCGGTGCAGAAGGTGTCAGGAGTAAGTCCTTTCCACCGCGTTACACTTCCGAAGTTCTTGGCGTATGATTTCATTTAGGGAGCAGCGCGGCCACCTAGTGTTTCGCAGTCGACTACAATGAGTGGATTACGACATGGTCGTTATGCCTTGCACGTCAGTGAGAAGGTGAAAACATCGAGTTACGATTTTATCCATGCCTACATCAATGAGCAGAACAGCAAAGGTGGATGGAAGTGGAGCTGGTTCCAGGTATGCCCTTTGATGTATGTTCTATAATTGCTAACATACTAGCTATCTCTTTAGGCATCAAAGATCGACCGGCTTCCTTGTCCGATCCAGAAGTGGGTTGCGAGACTTCTCGTTCACAAACATCAGTTGGAATATCAAAGACCGAACGCGGTAGTTCCCACTTTCTTTTTATGCTTGTATGGCTTATACTTGAGCTGAAGTGTGCTTTTAATAGGTGATAACTGAGTCAAATGATCACTTTCTGTCAGCTCCTGCTGTAGAAGCGACCGGTGAAGCTCCTCCACCATCAGCATCTAGCGCAAACACTCCCGGTGTAAGCATTTTCCCCACACATCAGTCTTTATCTATAATCAAAGTAATTCTTTCGCATGCTATTTTTTGAAGAACTGTGACAAACTTGTTGATACCACCCTGTAACTTTTAGACCCAGACACCTGCTACACCGACTGCATCTGGTGTTGTTGCTGAAGCAACCACACCGGGGAACGAAGTTTGCATTGCTTTGTGTTGATTTTCTTTGTCTTAATGTTGTTGGTGACTCATTTAAGGAACCTATCACCTCACTGAATTCTGCCGTTAGTACTCCTACAACGAACGATGTGCCGATGGATGACACTACTCCAGATCAGAACCGCAGCCGTATGTTTTTTGGTTACAGATTGCTTTGGTGTGCTTATAATTTCTCAATTCTAGTATCATCGGCTTCAAATCCGATCGTGTCCCCAAGAGCTGGACGAGGTGGACGAAAGCGTGGAGGCGTCAGGCAGCATAGTGCAGGATCGCGTCAAAAAAGAGTGCGTGTTGTATTTCACCATATTGTGCAATCATGTTTTAGTCTCTCGAAAACCATTTTTGAAAAATATAATTATGATACTTCTCAATCGAATTTCGTCAGTGTCAGGCTACTCACTCAAATTTCAGTCAGCATCTCGTAATGACCCACCTGGTGCTGTTGCTGCTTCTTTCAATCAAGCCTGGCATGGAGCCGGATCTAATCCCTCCGGCAGCGTAATGACTCAGCCAGATTCTCTGGCTTACTCGCAGCATCAAACCCAGCAGGTAACTCATCATTCTCTCCGCTCCATGGTCGTTCGTTAAGTTTGACGACAGTGCCGCGCTGGTGTGCGGCAGGCAATCTTTCCGTTGGACGACGTCGTGCAATGGTGTGCGGTGGCCTTAATTTTAATACTGTCGTCCAATCCCCTCAGTTTTTGTTCATATAATAAACATATGCTCAGATGTACTTCGTATATCAGCCCCACTCCTTTTGGCAAACTCCGCCCACTCCTATGCCCCCTCACAAGGACTCTTTTTGTCATAAAGCCATAGATAAGGCCGTAGATGAACGCAAAGACCTCAGGCAACTTTTAATCAGGCCTAACCCCTGTCAGGCAAACTCCTTCCCAGATATCAAACCCCGTCCATTTTTCAAAAGTGGCGGAATTCGCATGAATTCTCAAAATTTGGGAAATCGACATTTTTGGTCGAGTGGGCGTGCCATATAGCTTGCCATATAGGGGCGGGACTTGCACACTTTCTATTTCATGCATACATACATGCGACCAGGCGTGGGGATGCACGGACACGTCTCATCCACAGGGACAGACCTCAAAAAAAAAGGCTCCTCGTCAACGTGTTAACTCAATTACAGGTGTCGTCAAATGCGGTAAAAGATCCCACCAAAACGAAGATCCAGGAGTGTATCAATAAAAAGCGCCTCGAAGCTGCACGGATATCGGGTAAGAGCCATGACTGTGTCTCCGATATACTTCGTGTTGTATTACATAAGGTTATCCATAACTAAAAATGTCTGCTGCGTTCAGCAGGATTCCCAGGACCATCTGCATCAATGCCGTCCACAATAGCGCCATCGCAAGCTTCGTACTCGGATTCAAATTTCAACCACCATTCTGGTAATCAAAGGGTCATGCCGGGTCCGCATCGTTATTTCATTTGTCGCGTTTTTCATCATAATGTTCTAATGGTGTCCCTTTTTAGGTGACTACCAAAATCAGCAGCCTGGCCAAGGTACATCTTTATCTCTATCTCATACATTTTTGGTGCCACATAAAAAAACTAAAAAGTTGGGAACCAAAACATGCAAATCAGTTGGAGTGAAAACTTCGTCACGAGCTTTTCTCGACATCGAAATCCCCTGACCTAAGAATGGGAGATAGGAACGCCGGTCTCAAATTATTTGAGCTAGTGATCAGCAATGAGATATGGACCATTTGGAATTTTCAAGGCGATCCAAGGGTCGGTATTGGCTGTCCTAGATAATTGCCAAAAAACGATCAAACATTGGACACGCTTGCCAGCTCCGGGATGGTAAAGAAATCATCAATTAGACATAGCATAGTTGAGGGGAAAAATATAGTTCTTAAACCCTCAGTTCTTTATCAATTTCTGTCATTTGCAGATCCTTCACAGCAGTCGCAGTCGATGTCGCAACAGCAACAAATGCAGGCACAGCAGTCTCACCATTCCTTGCCTGCTCATCAGCAGCAGCAGTCCGGCCAGCAGCCTTCAGCAAATGTTCCACATTCGATGCAGCCGCAGGTCATGCAACACATGCAGCCGCATCATATGCAGCAACAGATGGCACCACAACAAGGTAAGCAGCAGTCTTTATACTTAGCATGCAGGGTGGTAGCACATAGGATAGCCCCAAATGCAGCTCTTAGATGAAATGCATAAAAAAAGCACGGTGTGATGCATTCGCTCGATGTATCATGGCGCACTAGGTAGTTGCTTGAGAGTTCATTTGAGTTTAAGATATAACTCAAAACATTGCATTTGCTACACTAACTTGAAGTTTCTTTCTTTACACATAAGTAGAGGTTGGTTCTTTTCTTTCTATACATACGTCAACTAATGCTCTCATTAGCACTCACTTACTTAATGAGTTGTTATGAGCCTAACCCAGCTTTTTGGGTGATGCGCCTCTGTTACTTTGCCATAGCGGCGTTTTCCATCATTTTTGATATCTTCTTCAAAACCTCTGCTGAAATTTTGTTCGAGGTATGCACGTACGTGCATGTACGTGCATATTCGACATAATGACAAAGGCCTTTCATGCTATTTTTAGAGCAATGGTTACTTCGCGGGAACATAGCCGTCTTTCATTGGTACAGGTGTACTTTTGTGTTGATGTCTTTTCCTGTGGATTAGCTCCTGACTTTTTGAATTCGTCAGTTCGCGATACATGAAGGTCCTGCTGATCATTATCGACAGCTGTTTATAGTATCTTCCACCACACTGTAGACCACTGTTGAGACTTTTTTCTTGCTTTGAACTAGAATTTTCTCTGCACTTCACCTTGTGCACAGAATAGTGTTTTTAGGAGCTATGTCCGGACAGCAGTTCCCTCAAATTGGTGGTCCTGTTCAACATCAGTCCTCAATGGGTGGACCCATGCAGATGAATTACCAGGGTCAGCCGCACACAGGCCAATCAGCACAACAGGGCCAGCAACAACCGCGGAATACCATGGGACAGTTCACATCCAGGGATGGTACGATGACTATGGACTACCAGCAAGGTGACGGTTCTATCGGGCATACATAGTTGAAGTGAACCGCGAATCAGCGCAAGATTTATTGTTGAATTTTTATTTGTTATAGATAGATAGATACAGTTCCTACTCTCTAGCACATCCAGAATGTAAAGCCAAGCCTCGAAAGGCATATGCGCATTTAACGTATCGTCTATTTCTCAGCGAAGTTTTGTAGGTACCAGCGACTCTGCTTCTCATGATACACCATGTCTATTTTGGATAACTCCTCAAATCTGCTGAAGTTAACGTGATGAAAGTAGCGAAAGGTGGAAAGCTGAGAACGCTAGCGGTGACTTATGGGAGCCTCGCTGAGAGAATGAGGATAAGCAATCTGGTGGCGGATAGAGGGGTTTCCAGGAGGATAGCTGCATTGCATCAGGCTCGCATGTGCTTACAGTCATTCCCAATCCCAGTCAGGCCAAATTTGGTATCGCAAAACCCTCGTGACGCAGGCGGGGTTTGCGTATCGTCTGCGGATCTTGTCTGCTATCTCTTTAAACTTTTCGCTTTCTCCGACGGTGAGCACATGCAACGCAAACCTCTAGCGCTTACGCCAGCGGTTGGACCTGATGCAGATTGGGACAGTCTGTACTTTGTATATTGTCCGCTTTTGTGAGGAACTAATGGGACTTTGTTGAGTTGTTGAATGGGACAGCAAATGCTTGATCATAGACTATTGAATGAATCCAGGTGGTCGAGGACGGCAACCTATGCAAATGAATCAACAGATAGGACCACAGGGCGGGATGGGTCGCGGCAGTATGCCTGGTGGACAGATGAGTGGTCAAGCGCATATGGGCTCGCAGCATATTCCTGAAGGTCAACAAGTGATGGGACAACAGATCGGTGGACATGCAATGGGTTCGCAACAAATGTCTCATCAAATGGGTCAGACCTCGATGTCGGGACAGCAGCAGTACTACATGCAGCAGTCAGATCAGAGGTGAGAATATGTTTTAGTCAAATATCCTGACGGTCTTAGTCCCGTCGCGTTGACAACACTTGCGCGGATGAGAGGGATACCGTGCATGATATGCTGACAACACTTGCGCGTGAATGATAAGCACAGAACGCATAATTGAAATTTCCCCTCATGAAAACTTTCCTTCACCACAACAAGGCTATGATAATCGTCAAGTTCTCAAGGTGTAACTATCTCTACGATTACGCAAAGAATATCAATCATCTACTTTTCAGGATTATGAATCCGCAGTACAATCAATCCCAGTACCAGCCGAACAATCAGTTCTAATTATTTCATCTTTTAAATTGCAACAATCAAGGGTCTTCAGAATCACGTGATCTTCCTAGTGTTCTCTCGAAACGGGTTACTATGCTTGTTTTTATTTTATGAGCGGAACTAACACTGTATTCCTGTCATTCGTCAATTTCAAGCATAATCACATGATCAGGTCTTATCATCACCGCACTTTTCACTGTTTGTAATATGTATATATCTTGCTTTTAACTTGTACATAAGGCATTTTCACAATGAATGATTTTTATAGTATTTGTCTTGTAAGGATATTCGAAGTTGTATGGCTCTGCAATATTGGGCTTTTCTTTTCTGTCGTGTCAGTCAGTTATACAATTCCGCTGGTTACACTTCAAAAGCCGTATCTATCACTCAGGAATCATATGAATTCACTAGTGTCTCCTCTGCTGAGGCCAAAAGTGGATTTGGTGTAGAGATCACTAGAGGGGTGGAGGGATATATGTCGCTAGAAAGGGGTGGTTCCAAGCAGACATCTGCGACAAAACGCGCAGCTCCTCGCACCGCAGACATACAGATTAGGTACCAGTTGACCGCGCGGGGTGGAGCCTACCGGCGACATATAGTCCCCTACCCTTGCTAGAGCAGTAGATAGAACTGGTGGTTGTTGCTGTTTGGGGCGACCTGAAATGTACTTATTTTTCTTCCTTCTGTGTGGTGCAGGACTACTAAGACGAGCGCAAATGACTCCCGGGAGAACTTTTATAATTTTCGGGGCGGACGCTCCTACTGGGCCGTGTGGGTGGGTGGTCCCGGCCTACCTGGCAGCTCCAATCAGGGTTCCCCTTCCCCCCCCCCCCCGGAAGTTTTAGAAGTTCAGTTATCCCCGGAAGTCATTTGCGATTGTCTGATAGTGATCGAAAGCAAACAGTTGCTCTTTCATTTGAATCAAATCGCTTACATTCTGAATATACTGTTGCGAATCTCCAGTGCAATTTTTGTTAAGATCCGCCTTTATATCTGCCATTTCAAGTCAAACCGTTCTTTTCCATTCTACGTCGTGTGTTCCCTAAGCGGTAGTTAGACTATCAGAGGCTATGGCAGTAGAATAACAGAAATTTCTCAATGTTCCTTTTTAGGTAGGGGTCTTGGGGACGAATGGCATAGTGGTAGAGGTGTCGCTATGACCATATCGGACCCAGGTTCGATTCCGCTCCTGGGTCAGTCAAATCCTCTACCCTCCGGAACCGGTAAATTCGCACCAGAGTAATCTGCGAGAATAAAAGCACTGACTTGGTAGACATCCACTTTGACACGTACACGTACGCGTGACATCCACTTTCTTCAACAAAATAAAGTAAAGAAAGGAAAATATGGATTTGTGAATGAGCGACCATATTTTTTTGTTTTTGTGAAGTTGTGCAAGCAAGGTGCTGCTGATTCACCTAAAAATGATTGAAGCTCTTTCTAGATGTTTTCTCTCATGGGTCATATCTATAAAGATTGATCGCGTGAACTGTAAAATGAAGGTAATTCTGACGTGTTTTGCAATACCGTTCAACTTCAAGCTTTACGAAAAGAGGAGACCTTTTTACAGTAGTTTTAGTATTTGAATATCTATATTCATAACCAAGCCTATTTGATATATAATTTTTGGTTTCTTTTCTTACAGGGCTGAGGGTTTGAAATAAATAATTATTGCATAGGGGAACGAAAGCCGCCAGTTTGGGCCGCCTCCGCGGACTGCTGATCCTGGGACGACATACAACAACTTTGCGAAAGGACCAGTTGGCCGCGAAAGGCGGCTCAAACTGGCGGCTTTTGTTCCCTACCCATAATTATTTCCTCCTCTTAGCAGTAGTACGGGTCGTTCCCTGTTTAGCCTACAAAGTGCGGACCATGTCAGGTTTTGTAGTTTACTTAGCCTTTGGAGGACTTTTTTTTTGCCAATACAGCAGTTGATAGATCACCAACAAGAGATTTTGTCTAACTGACAAGGGAATGGTCAGAAGTCGAAGTGGTCAATCCAAACAAGCTGCATACCATTCGATACATAGCATAGAACGTTGATTTCAAATTTGCTTCCGTATCTGCAGAGCGCCTTTGTAGGCGAAGTTATGAACAGCTTTACTGCCAAAAAAGGAACACAAAAATCAAGCACATTATTGCCCTTTTAGCTCAGCTCTAGGTGCAGGCCATGTGAAGTGACTTACAAGGGAAGTCACTTAACTTAGGTCAGGCTTTTGAAATGTGAAACATATGGTTAGTATGTGTCATTGACATGCAACTGAATATGGAAAGGTCTTTGGATGAAAATCTGCCTAAAAAGTGGTGGAAAATCAAAATAACATCAAATTGAGTCATTTGGTTTTGATAGGGTATAATATGCATTTGAACCACTACACAGATGATGATACCGTAGCATGCCTAACTCGGTCAACACGCAAAATTTGCTCAGGAAAAAGCTCATAACTCGCTTTAGAGAAAAGCTTCGCAGCTAAGGATAGCATATTTGGAATCAGCGTTCCAAGCTGATTCTAAATATATGTGTCTCAATTCAAATGGCCGACCTAAGTTAAGTGACTTCCCGTGTTACTTGCATATTTTGGTCCAACAATGAGCCGAAAATGGCTCTGTACGGCCAAGTTTGATCTTTACGCGCACGATTTCTTAGCAAAATAATGGCCTTTAACGACTTATAATTTCATCCACAAAAGCGCTCTGCAGATAAGGACAGATTTAGAGTCAGCGTTTTATGCTGCATCTAACGGTATGTAGCTTGCTCGAATTGGCCACTTCGATTTCTGACCATTCCCTTGTGAGATGTTGTTTGGTGTTAAGTATATACATGAGGTTTTTGTAAAAAAAAGTTCTTGCGTAATGTGAGTAAAAGGAAAAATAAAAGGTTGCGCATACACGGTGGTTTGAAGCAAATTTTGGTTGGTTAGCTATGGAGGAAAACCTTGAAGACGGCTTTTCATGGTTTTGATTTTGGTTTCCAAATGTATTGGAGGCCACTAGTGGCTAAAAACACTGCAAACCATATAATGTGATAGGCTTGGATCTTGCACGAGTATGCTAGCACAAAACTCTTGGAAAACGTTATTTTCTCAAATAAAAAACCTCATGGGTGCAATTCCTTGGCAAAAACATAGTCACAGACTATATATTGACCAGTGCTTTTCGGGAACATTGACCTTTTCAGTGTTGTCAAAGTGTTTTTTGGAGGAAAGAATGCGCTAATGTGGGAATTTCTTTCATCAAATGACGTTCCTTTCTACAGTCGAGTTCTACAGTTTTACAGTTCTACAGTTTTCTACAGTTTCCGCTTAATATGGTGTGCTTGCACAGAAGGTGAAATGCGGTAAAATTTGCGCGTGAGGAAATAGTTTCGACTGTGACGCCGGCCAATTTCGCGCACAAAATACCGGCAGTGCTGGCGCAGCTATCTGTTCACGCGCAAATTTTACCGCATTTCATAAACTGTGCAAGCACACTATATTAAGCGGAAAATCTACTCGACTGTACATATTGTTTTTTTCTTGCATCATACGAGATCATTCCGCTAGAATGTGGTGTGCTAGGTGTTTGAACTACTGCTATGTAGCGAATTTCTCGGACACTAATGAATTATATGTGTTGCGGTTGCTGCTCAAGCGATAGCTCTGATGCCTGAAGGTCAGTATCCAGGTGAAGTCCGGGTATCGTACCACCTTTGCGTTAACAAATTCTTTTTTGAAGGCACCGTCCACCCAAACTGAGGGTAGCGAAATTTTGCTGTAATAGCGGGATGCAAAGCAAGTTGTCGCCCAAATCACGCTGCAAATGATGGATTCCGGAGCGAGAAAATTGCTCCAGAACCTAGGAGCGGCTAGGATGGCTCCGCCCATAACTTGGGTGGGCTTCATGGTAGATAGAAATGTCGCGATTTTGATAACTATAGTAAAGGGAAGGGCGACTTACGGCAATTCTAGGTACATCAGAACCCAAAATTGGACTTGTAAATCTTATTTAGACCTCCCATGCTAGTGGACGGAGCCATCCTGTCCGCTTCTACAATTCAAAGCGATTTCCTCGTTCGGGACTTGGGCGACCACCTAGCTAGAGGCCCCGCTGAACTATCCTTAATTTGGCTTAACATGCCTCTAACATATTGGTGGACGTGTGGGGCAATACGAAGCTGTTTTGCCCACTGCAAAGGACCTTGAGTTGTGAGGCGCAGCGGACTTGATTTGATTTTGTTGTGTGTTCAACGCCACGAGGTTTTACGAATACACACACTTCAAGATAAATATCGTTGCAGTTGAGTTCGGGTAAGTGTGGGGTTTTTATCACGAGTGTTTGTCTATTGTAACTTTGCTATGAGCTTATCACAGATTTGGATTTCCAAACTTTATTTCACTCTTCTCTAATTGATGGAATCGTATAGAGTTAGTGATTCTGCGTCACAAACTGTTACTCAAAAGAAGTGCGTTGCTAAATGCAAACGGTGTATGAAATACTTACATAAATAGAATAGAATTTTATGGGAACATCAAAACGCTAAAGCAAAAGACAAGAATTTCTTGAGGCATAAGTCTGATTTCATCGCCAAAACCTATGAAAGAATCCCATCTTCGTTCTGATCACCATATACACACTTTGCAGATGCACGATATGCAGCGAGTTACTCTGAGCGACAAACGGCGAGTAGTCATTCAAAGGGACTATTCTTCCGGTTTGGGCATCAAATTCAATTCAGCGTACCCGCCTGATCTAACTTCTCATGTAAGTAAATAGTGGTAAAAAAACAATTTTTCTATAGCTTCTTCTCGTCTTACTATATTGAATAGGTGTAAGTTGTTTTCTACCAAATTTGACGGTTATCGTGCCCCGACGGTGGCAGCAACATCTGCGCGTTATGCATCAGATGCACAGTTTTGTGCCCATGAACGGCGCAGGACAAGCGTCAGTGACAGATGCTATCAGTGGGAAAAGCTGTATGAGTATATGACCAGAGACAAATTTTCATTGCTTGAATCCAGTAGCTGTAGCTCTGTGGATATTTTTGAGCGGATTTTCATGCTCTTCTGATCGAAGAACTTGAGATCTAATCAAAGGTATTGAAGATAGATGAAGATACATGGACAAAGTTTATCTGCGAGTTAAACTACGAGTATGAATGTGCTGAAAAGATTACAACCCGCACCGTCATGGAGACAGTTCTTGGATGCCTTAGCTGCTATATAACAAGGTTGGTTATTGAAAAGTTTTTTTTCGTTTTCGATTCATTTTGATTTTTCTCTGTTTTAGATGTTGTAGACGCCAAGTTTTGTTATAGTACCAATCTCGATGATTTGCAGATTCTGTGTCCGTCCTTCCTTCTACAAGCGATTGGACGAAATTGCCGAGTACTTAGAACGCACGAATCGAGAAATACTCATACCGCGTGGTCTATATGCGAAAAACCCTATTGAGAAAGGATTCCGTGTTGTGAGTGCTTTTCATAGAGGTTTTTATAACATTGAGTGCCCTGTAATTGGCTGTAGATTTGACGGTGTCGCTATGACTGTTCATGTGTTGATCTTTTCTTGAATTAAGTTGGTTTGCCGCTCCTCGTTGCTGAAACACCCCACTGCTTTCTATTTTCCTTATCAAAAGCTCGGTTGTTTCATATGCCTACAACATTTGATCTGCAGCGAAGCGAGCTGATGCCATAGGATTAGTGTGAGCTCTGCAAATTTTTGAGCGCAATATTGTTGGTACAGCAGGGGCTCTAAGCTCCCGCCGCTTGAAGGCAATTGCCTGCTGTCTGCGAAATTTGGTTTGTTCAGGAAAGGTTTTGTAGTAGGGAAGGAAAGGTCTGTCTCATTTATTACTCATAAGGGCGTTCCCTTCCCTCCCGGGACGATGGCTCGCGAAACATCTGTGAGTGATTTACATGTATCACAAGTTGCGCAAACAACTTTAGTTAGCTGAGATAATTTTCTACTTTTTGAATGTTCACGCCCTTCATTCAAGAACAAGCTTCTATCACCCCTTCCTCCCATCCCCGTTAACACATTGACGACCACGCAGAATTTTAGTTGTCTGCCTTCTGGGGCCAAAGCCTTCTACGGATCAGCCCACAATCCTCAACTATAATTACTCATAATGCTATCTACAGTACACCTACAGTAGATCTGAAGGGCTGACAAAAAAGTAGAGATCATCTCTAGATTCAGTGCAAAAGAGAGCTCATGGAGTTAGTTTATCCCAAAGTAGCGGTCATTTTAACAAAATTCGAGCCTTGACACACATGGTGTGTCAAGCGGTCCCACGCGGTAGTCATTGCTTGACACACCATGTGTGTCAAGCTGTCGTCAATGTGTTAAAGCTGACGCAGTATGCGAACCAAATTGCATGAAGGTATTTTTGGGCACTTGGTAAAACAGTTGTTACTTAGAGAAGCGGATATTGCTGTTGCCATTACTGTTCTGCTCCGATAATGCAGTGTTCAAAGACAAGGATCGTGTCAGGATTTAAAGATGTTAATTAGTAGACTCCCCGGGAAGCAGTCAGGAGGCGCGAGTTCTCCGGCTGTCACCACCTCAAAACTCCAGTTTAGCGCTTTGCGAACTTTAAAAGTACCAGATGAACTGCATTGGCTTACTATCTATCTGAGGTTGCCACTTGCTGAGTTTGGTTATTAGATTGGCTCGAAAGTTCTCGACATTGCATTTAGACTAAGTTTTTGTTTCGATGTAAGCTCTGATTGGGGCATGTTGCATACCTTGGATAGAGGAAAGCAATCTCTACAAAACTTTGGTAAGCAAAAGCATCATTAATGTTTTATGTGAAAATTCGGGCGCAAATTCCAAAGCATAGGATTTTGACCTAACCCAGATCTCCAGCTTCTATAAACGTTATGAAATCCCCACATGCTCCATTTTATGGTACAAACATACCTATATGCTTACAAGCACATTTTGTGCGGAATTTGAGCTTAAACAACAAGAGAAACGAGGTGATTGAAAAGTGGCAAACTCCGCCCACATTGGTCCTAAGCTCCTCCCATTTGCTTAGATATCAGCTACATGCGAGAGCGAGCACATCTGCAAATTTTTGAGGATGTACATGCAGTGGGTTTCGAGAAATAGCAATTTAGTCTGAAAATTTCCCAGAACTTTCGAGCCAACCTGTTATTTACGAGTTTGTTTTTGACTGCATTTTCATGAGTTTTTGAGCTTCAAAACTGCCGTTTTGATGATTCCAAGATAGTTAGATCGTGCGACCCATGGAACTATCTAATATATCTCCTACTAAAATTTGAATACTCTTAGTCTTATTTATAAAGCTGAATGTCTGTTTGTATGTCTGTCTGTCTGTCTGTCTGTATGTCTGTCTGTACGTATGTTCCGAATAGAAAATTCCATTTCCGAACCGATCCGGACCAAACTTGGCACACATACACTTCGGGCCCCGGCGGGTGTCATAGGCTACTTTTCGTCATCGATCGATATCGATTTTATCGATTTTCTGCAAAATTTGAGCTACGGGGCTGGGAGTTGGCACAGGGGGGTTATCGAGCATGCTGATTACGAATATAATAATGACAGGGCCGGGCGGAGCCGGGTAAGTCAACTAGTATGTTATAAAACATTTATCGTGTGCTATTTGGTGTCCATCTGGCAATAGAAGTTCGCCTCTTGACATACACTCAGACTCCCCAGGTACAGCGTAGACCTAACCTCACCCTCCAAATCATGCGTAAAGAGCTGTAAACTCCTTTAAAACGGCCACCAACGCCCACTCAGTGGAAGTGGGGGGGCTGGTGGGCTTCTGAAGCGCCTTTCCAGGACTGACCCCATGTATAGGAGGGTGGGCTTGGGACTACGAGTATGGAGATTCTACTACTCAACACCGCTAAAATCTGACAGGGACCCATTTTGCCAGGCCACTGCTACTCAATGTATACAATTTTTTTAGATGGAAATATATTTGATATATGAAACCAACGATCCCAAAAAGGACACGTATCAAAATGTACCAAAGCCACAGTCATTTGTACCACGCCTTTGATTGTCTGTCTTCGTGATCTCATCTCACCTCGGTGTTGTCTTGCCATTCTCTATTGATTTTCGCTCTCATATGTGATTCTTTTGAATTTGATTCATTATCTGCTTGCCCATTTTTTCTAATCGTTTGTACATTGTATATAGTCCATTATGTGCATTTGCTGTATAGGCTAGTAGATTCAGAATTCATAGTGCCGCTGCGATGCCGACAACACGCGCACATTAGCCGTTTAGCGCACAGTTTTCAGTTTTGCGCGCCATAACTATTTTTTACGCTCAAACGTTGTCGGCAACGCGCGAAAGCAGTTAACTTCCAATTTTCCGGTAGGTCTTTCACGCTATAAAATCTTTTCAATTCAAATCTTTTTGACTGAGACCAGCGCTATGCTTTTTCGATGCTTTACGTCGGCTTTGAGGATAGAGTTACTCTGCGTTATTAACACTAGAGTTTGGTAATATTTGCCATAATAATTATGTATCAAGGAGAAATATCGCAAGTCTTGTGATCACATTCGAGATTGAATTTCTTATTTAAATGTTGGCATCATAATTCGCTTGTATCTCAAGTTTGTTGTGACTTTCTTTAGCCTTTTACCAAATGAAGTGTTCAGAATTGATTATATCATTTTGCACCTTTGTACGTATATCGAGGATCCGAATGATTGGTTTCTTGATTGTCCTAGCTACTTATTTACAAAAGTTTGTCAATAAAGTTATTCTTGGTTGTGGCTTGTCCATTTTACAGCGCTTTTGCGTTACTGATAATGCTTGCGCCTACACAGACACGGGGACCAAATTCGGAAATGCTTGCTCGATGGCCAAATTTTTTGCGCGGGAGTGCTGGTGTAGTGACGGCTCGGAGCAGGGCTCGGCACAGCTGGCGCCGGGTCAAGGGATACGTTTTTGGGGCGTAAAACAAGGGGGGGGAGATAGCGTTTTTTGTGGGTTAGAAGCCGCTGTTTGCTAGAATGCGAGGGACACGCCGGCGACATGCTTAGCTTTTATGCCTCTGTTCATTCGTCAGCATGCCACTCGCATGCCAACGGCATGGAGTTGGTATGTCGCCGACATGCTGGTGCTAACATAGCGCCGGAATTTGAATTCTGCCCCAAACAAACAAAAGCCTTGTTTACAAACAAAACGCATCACATGACACCAAATCTGTGTGCATGCGCGTCGACACGAATTATGGCCCAAAAATTTATGGAATTTTATGTGAATGAAAGCTGTGATGAACTTTTTTCTAAATTAGCTGCGTTAAAAACTGAAAAACTAACTTATGTATGCAAAGGCACCGACCCTTTGCTTACACAAGTTTCCATACTTTTTTACATAAATTGTATCAACGCTGTAGAAGATTACATACAGAGCAGAAACGATTTTTCATATTTTTTCTGGCGTTTGTCATCTAAAAAAATATCGGTCTGCTTCGCAGTCGAAAAATCTGCTTCAATCATAAAGCGCGCCCGCGCCTTCAGCAAATGCAGAACACGACAATGAGGACTTTGTACGAAATTTTCAAGATCGAGGGGACTTCGTTTTAATTTTTACTGGTGCCAGCTCGTGGCGAGCCCTGCTCTGGATTGATTATCAACTGGCAGCTTCCGCCAAAATTTGGATCTATGGGGATTTTACGTGGAAAGTAATTTTGGGGCCCTAGTTAAGGCACTGCCCAGACGGCAGCTCAAGTGACTCACTAACGGTTGAGATATAAGCCTCCAGAATGGACCCCGGGGTCGTATTTCGCATCGATTCATGGCGCAACCCATCAGTTTCGCGCAAGGACCCACCAAAACTAATGGGTTGCGCCATGAATCCATGCGAAATACGATCCTGGGGTCCATTTTCGAGGGGAATATCTCAGCCGTTAGAGAGTCACTGATTGCCGGTTTTGCGTGGCTTAGTAAGGGTCTGAAAATTACTGTCCTCGTGAGATACCCATATATCCAGATTTGACTGGACGCTGCCTTTAACTAGACTTTCGCAGGCGAATTTACGCCCGTCTTTGACGGAAGTCCTACATTATAAATGATAAAAGCAGTTAAACCAGCGGTACCCGATCGCATATAGTTTGCCCCAGTCGGGATCAGGCTGATTTTTTTTTACCAAATTTGTTCGTACGCAGCGTCAGTACTCTGCGCTGCATCTGCGCGCTGTCGCAGAGAGCGATGAGATCGAAGAGAGAGCAGGCAAGCAGGTCGTTAGCGTGACGCAAAACTCTAGTGACGCGAATCTCGCCATGCCAATTTTGGCTGATTGGGATTGAGGCAGATTGTAATTTTTTTGCCATCTTTGGCAAAAAGGGCAACGGAAAATTTCGATAAAAGCAATGGATTTTGTCGCGACGTTTACCATATTTGTGGCTCGCGCTTTGACTTCCCTAGTGATCAGTTTTTGTCTATAATGTGAAAAATGCTAAACAACATCAAGTTAATAGAAGTTCGTTGAATTCCAATAATTTAATCAGCGTTTGAAAAATTGAGCACTTAGCCATAAGGGTCCCGCAGCGGCCCTGCGTCTCCAACCTTTATGGGCTTCCCTTCGTCAATATTCGAGAAGGCTGGGGAAATGCTGGTTTGCCATTTTCGCTCTCTGGGGTGTTTTCGGTCTGCGCGTGGGATACCCAGGCAAGCAAAAAAGTCTTGGAGCGAGGATTTGGTCAAGCCAATGCCTTTGAGCGACCCTGAGTTTCCCGGACATTTTGTACAAATTGACCGTAGGGGGCAAAGCCTAAAATGTGCCTGTCCGTTTTCCGCGCATTTGTTGGCGCCGCTGCAAATGCATTACTCTGTATGTACCCTTTGATTCCACTGGAATGGAAGGCCGAGGTTTCGTGACCTAAATGGGGCTAGAGAATGATCAGAGAGCACGTTCGCAAGAGATACGCGGACTGCGTCGCGGGCGCGAGCGGTCGCCTACCAGCTGCCAGTTTCATTGTATTATAGGGTAAATGTCTACCCCGCTGAAATCTTCAATCAGATCCATTCCGTGCAATACACCTCGTCACATCTGTTCGGTCCTGCTGCTATATGGCTGCTCAGGAATTGTCAAGCGAGCGTTGTAGGAGTTGCCACGGGATTAATTTAGATGTCGCGACATATTGTTTTACAAGGCTTCTGAAGCGGCGCAAAAGCTCAAAGACCTCAAAAAGAATCCTGACTCCTTCGTAGATTTGACTTGTAAAACCTTGGAGTATTTGAATATTTTGGTGAATTAGCGAATTCTGAACTCAAATACGTGAAATTCTCCAAGTTTCAGCTATGAGGGAAACAGTGGCGTACCGAGGGGGGGGGGGGGCGGGGGGGGGCGCGCGCCCCCCCCCGAGAATGGGTCGCGAAATTTTTGAAAGTTACTTATATGGGTTATAAAAATGTGCAAGTGACATGTTTATTTTTGTAAATAATTAAAATAATTTTTAAAAATTTTTAAAAATTCTAATTAGCCTTGTAAAAAAAATTTTTTCGGGGGCGTGGCTGACGCCACGCCCCCTTTTTCCAGATTTTAGGGGTCGGGGACCCGCAAAAGTTTTGAGAAGCACCCCAAAAATTTTTTCGGAGTGCGTGGCTAACGCCACGCACCTTCTTTAGAAAAAAATTTTTGTCGCGCCCCCCCCGAGCCGAAATCCTGGGTACGCCACTGGAGGGAAAGGGCCAGTTTTGAGAGTCATGCTCTTACTTTATTGGTGGTTGGAAATTTTATAAGCTTTTTCTTTGAGTAGAAACTAGAAAACTGTTACGAATGGAAGATAACTCACGGGGGTATCGAAGCTATGCTCGCTGTGAATAGCGAAAGCAAAAAAATTTCAGTTCCAAACATAACAGTTTCTGGTTATACTACAGCCTAACTAGTCGTAGAGAAAACCGGTAGAATTTTAATCACAAATGCTCGCTTTAAGGGATACTTATTAGTGCGATGCTTAGTGTAAAATGTATACTGTCTTGGCTTCATATACATCCAAAAAACAAGAAGACCGAAAGTTTACCCCATGCAATCATACAATTGTAGTCAAAGCTAATGGTCTGAACAAAAAATTGATTTTCTCGAGATTGAAAATGAGTTAGGTAATCACTAGCATTTGTTTTTTCGAGTAAAGAATCGTCCAATATATTTTCTTCTAGCTGCTGTCCGATAGTGCATGAACGTGAATGGGATTATACAGCCACTCATCATTCTTGATTGTTATGGTTTTCAGACATTCTTACCTCTGAATCCATGTAATCAAGACGAGGATTATCTTAGCGGTAATGGTAAGTTTTTTGAGAGTGCTTTGGCTGAAATGGTTCGTTCTCCTCAAAGACTCGATAATCAGTTCGAGAAAAGGAAATCATTCTTAATTAAGAAACATGCAAGACGAATTGTAGTAATATTATTTGTTCTGCTTCTTAAAGACTTTGGGGCGTGAGAAAACCTTATTGGGAATGAAAAATGGGAGCCAATTCTAACAAAATGGATCATAAAAATTGTTTGAAAAATTTTTCATTTGGTGATTCTCATCTGAAAGCTTGAAGAAAAACTTTACCTCCATGTTCCTACTGTAATAGCAGAATTTTGTTGTAAATCAAAAGCTAGGCACTATTTTTCGTTTTGTAGGTTTTTACGGCCTGCTTTACTAATGTGTGCAATTGCACATATTCCACTGTTGGAGTAGGCCGCATAGCCTAAATGTTCTTCTCCTTGATTCTCTCGTTATTTTCGTTGTTTACGTACAGTCTGAATAAAAGTGAATGAAAGTGAAATGAAATGAAAACTCTGCGCCTTTTTCCAGCATTTTAACGTGTGCAATTGCACACATTAGCGCGTAAATCTGCTCTGCCGTGGTTTTGTTTCCGTCTGAATGAGTATGCGGAGTTGCGAACAATACTGATCTTCAGCTCAATTGGTCATAAAGAGCGCAAAACAATATAGTGAGTGACAGGAAATTAGTTACTACACGATATTAATGCGTGATTAATGCCGGGGTGCTAAAAGGGAAGCCTATCACATTGGCGGATTATCGCTCCATCCTAGCGAGCTAATCCGTTCACGGCACTGACGTTAGCTGTTTATTCGAATATATCGCTTTCACAAGAAGGCGTTGCACGGCTTTCAAGTTGATACCTCCACTACATGAGACCTAATTGCTCGATGGATACACCTGATAAGTTCGTTTTTCTTTTCCTTTCTTTCAAATCATTTTTCTCGAAACCAAAATTCTTTACCTTCCATGTTCTGAGTATAATATAAGCTTCATACTAAAACTCAATTTGTTTTATGTATTTTTTATTACAATCTCACTGGATCGATCGGATTAGTTCAAAAGTTCTGTACAATCATTTTTGAATATTTGCATCCTCCAGATTATGCATAAAACAATGTATAAATTCATAACATATCAGTATTATATAAGAAATGCGATACATGCGATACAGTACGATACAATATAAATGAACACAATAGGAATTTTTGCTCTATTTTTGATAGTTCAACATATTTTCCATTTCGCATGTTTTTTTGAGACCAGATTTTTTTCGCACTTTCTCTTATGTCTATCAATATTTCACGCAGACTTTTTTATTTCACGCACTGAAAGTGCAGAACATTTTGGAACAAATAAAGTACAAACTAATGCGGTAACACCCTCGCATTCAAGTAAATCACATGCTTAGTGTAGTTCAAACTTATAGAATTTTCTAAATTAGAATAAGCGAACCATCATTTGCATGTGACTTACCAAACATTGAGTGCAG